TTTTTTTTTTTCTTAAAAGAAGACGAAAACTCGTTGGACTCTATAAATAAAGTGGAGATAGTCCTGCGGAAGGGGAGAGGGGCCTGCACCCCTTGCTGGCAGGCGGCTGCAGTTCCTCCCACCTCGTCCGTGCCCTATTTGCACACAAACTGGTCCACGATCTCTGTGCACAACTTGCATTTCACGTAGCAGCACCAGTGGAACTTGCAGTGGCAGCGCTCTCGCTGCACCGTCTTGAACTGGTCGTAGCCCCGGCCGCAGCACATGAGTTCACAGCCGTCCATGCCCTCCGAGGTCTTATTGCACAGGCGGCCCTGCGTGCCCAGCGAGCCCGTGCTCTCGTTGCGCACGCAGTAGTCGGGGCTGGGGTCGATGTACACCAGGTCGTGGATGGTGGGGGCGTTGAAGCGGCTGTTCACCTGCACCAGCTTCCCGCGGCTGTTGAGCTTCATGGCGGCGGCGCTGTCGTACTTCTCCTTCAGGGCATCGCCCACCTTGCGGAAATCGGCCAGCTGCAGCCAGCAGGTCTTCAGGCTGCAGGAGCCAGAGACGCCGTGGCACTTACAGGCCACGTCAGCCAGGTTGTACACCGTCTGCAGAGTCGGGGAGAGAAGCAAAAACCATGATGAAAGACTAGCACGGATGTGAGAGCATTCACACCCCTCATCTCCTGCCCTCCGTCCTATTGCCACTGGCCTCTCCACAGTATTCACCTGAGCATCCTCTCCTCCAGTACGGTGGGAAGGATGAGTCAGCTGAGACACCCATGCACCCCCAGCACCCCAAAGAGCCAGGAGGAGCAGGAGGAAGAGGGCAGAGTCTCACCAGCCTCTCCCCACAACGGAGACAGCCTCAACAGCACACACTCAGACAGCAGCATCACTCAGCCTGCGCTCAAATTTTAGGAATTCATTCTCACGCCAACAAAGGATTTTGCTGTTTCATTGAGAAATGTAAAACATCTCCTTATTTTCTATCTGAGTTACTCTCCCTATTGATCTCCACTTGAGGCTGCAATTAGGGAAAGAGTTAAGATTCCTCTTGCTCCTGGCTCAGCTGCAGCTGATTGTCTACTTTTGGCTCAGCATCCTCCTCCTATCCCAAATACTGCTCTGGAAGAGCAACTTCATCCAAGACGAAACCCCCAAACACCTATGGGTGGGAGTCAGAGCTACATAGCAATATCCTCTTTACAAAGCTTTGGCAGGGAAACCTCAGTCATTTGCCCTGTACAAATAAAATAAGAGTCAGTGTTGACACTGCCCCAAAAATCCTGGGGTCTGACACATTAGATGATACTGTAGACAGCTTCCACCCAGCAGTTACAGAGTCTTAACGCTGCCAAATGGCACTGCAAAGATCAGGCTGAGGAAGGAAAAAACTCCTTGAGTCTCCATAAGCAACTGTGAAAGTGTCATTTTTCTTCTTGCTAATACTAATTGGCCTGTCCACTGCTTTCAGACACCCTCCTCTTACATTTAAATACTATTAATTTTCAATTATAATTCATCCTTCTTTACCTTAGAACACAAGTGTAAAGTCTCAGCCGACTATTGCTGGCACTTCAAGCTCTAGGAAAATAATGATTTTGGCTCTTCATATTCAGACTATTAAAAAAGTTTACACCCATTCATTTAAAGCATTTTTGAGATTAAAGAAACCATGAAGACATGTTCAACCACAGAAGACCATGTTTTCTAATAGCATAGAGAAGCTTTTCACATACTCTTAAACCAGGCAAAGAAAAAAAGAACAATCCTGTGGCACAATTCCAGCCTGGGAAGCCCAGCACACCCAACTTCCTTCCAACAACACACACTGTCCTGGTTGGAAATACCAACTAATAAAATCCTGTTCTACAGAGAATCCACAGCAAGCCGGGCACTTTTCATGGAACAATACAGAGGGAAACACAACACGCTTTAGTCCCAGCCTCCCCCACGAGGAAAGCAACAGGACTGTCAGACAACCAAAAGCAACACCAACTCACGCACTCCCCACCTACCCACACCCCGTATTTGCCTTTTTCTTGTTTGGTGCATCAAAACAGAGACAAGCCACGGTGGCTGCTCAGTCAGTGCCCCGCTTTTTTTCCCCAAAAAGAAGGGCTGAGGAGGGCGTGGAGGGACAGGCTGCCCTGCAGACACTCACTCTTCTGCCGGCCTCGTTGTTGTGCAGGTTCATCATGATGCGCGCGCTCTCGTAGGAGCCTCGCTGGTAAACTCGCTCGCGCTCCCGGGCGTCCACGAACTCCTTGGCGAAGCGATATCCGTACTCGATGTTGTCCCCGCAGCCGCCCCACAGCCAGTCCCGGGGCAGGTCCTTGGGGCGCGCGGCGCGGCTGCAGCCGCACGAGGACAGCTCGCCCTCGCGGCACGCGCGGCTCATGGCGTTGACCACGCCGGCCGCGCTCACCGCGTAGGTGAAGGCCGTCTCCCGGCTGCCTGCAGAGACACAAGTGGGGTTAGGGGACAGCCACCACTCTGCTGATGGGCCACGAGGACAAAGGTTCTCCAGAGCCACCAAGCTCACTCACACGGTAGAAGGTAAAGTAACCCTGACCCACGCTGCCCGAAACACCCTCGCTCTGAAAGAACCAAGCGAACCCAAGCCATTTGAGCACACACAGTTTGTCAAGAGCAGAAGTCACTTCTCATTCGTGCTGGGCCAAAGCAGCCATGCCTGCATGTGAGGGGAGGGAAGGGCAACAGGATCCCTGTCCTTCAGAAGAAAGAGATGTTAAATACAACCTTGAAAAGCCCGGTTCTTAAATTACTACTTCTCAAACGTGATTGATGCTCTTCACCCACTTATTCCAATTTATTTAAAGTTCAAGCGTTTTACGAAGTCTCCTGGTATCGAAAGAAACACGCAGCAGAACAACACACAGCTTCCCACCCTACACATTACACATTAGCCAGACACTTCTGGAGGAGACTATTTAAAACTAACAACAACCTGTGCTGGTTATTATCCACCACTCCAGCTCTTGCGAATATGGCAAGGGAGCCCATGGACGATAATTTTTACAAATTACAGGGAAGAAAAAACCCTTGGCACAAGGTGGCCTTGAAGGTTTTCTCCTGCATCTGGTGCCCTTAAATGGAAATGGAAAACCTCAAGTTTCCAACTTTCGTTAAGAAAAAGTTACAATACCCATAATGTAAGACACGGCCACATACCATCCTATTGACAGTATCTGATCCCATCTCACTAAGTGTCTGACTTCCTCAATCACTTTTCCAAGGGTGCCACAAATTCTGAGTACAACTAGCAAAGCTGGCAGACAAACAAGCGTAAAACTTGCACTAGAGAGCAACACTTGAAGTTTGTTTTTCTCCTTAAGAGACATCATCCCAATGGGTCTTCTCCAAGATTCTCAGAATGACTAAGAATAGACTAAATATTTCTTTTCTGTTTATATGATTTAAGTTTTATTCCTAATCTTTAGTCTAATCAATAGATCAAGCTAGCTTTTAATCTTGATTTTATGTGATTTTACTTAGGGAATACCATGGGCATTTGAAAACTTAGGACTTTAAGAGGCTGCATTTTTGGGCAAGTCATGTATATTTAGACAGCAACATTTTTAGGCAAATCTCTTTGTGCAAGACATATCATGACAGGTCAAATCTAATAGGAGCTTTCAAGCACTTCTGAAACATAAATAATTTGAGGTCTGGTTCATATTTAACATCACGATGACACCATGATCAGAGCAGCTTTGTTAATACAACAGCTGTCATCCACTGGATTAATTTTAGTAATAGAGGCTGGGTTTAAATGGGAAAAATCAGAAATCTTACGTTAGGAAAGATGAGACTTAAGGAAGACCCGAAGCACTTTGCTACCTCACACGATCTATACTCACAGACACCTGCTCTTGGACGTATCTACATGAATTGTGGGTATAAAGGGTTACAGGAGTAGCATTTTCAGTTAAAAAAACATTGGCTTGATGTGGTGACTTAGGCCTTGCATCTACTGCAAACTATAGCAGGGGGAACCTCATACAGATTTTAATGTTCCCGTTTGCTCTGTAACACACATTTTTGGATTAATTCCTTCAGCAAAATTTCCACTATATTGAGAGGAAAGAAACATGGTCTGCTTTGGACCACAGGACTCGCCTCTTCCGTTCCATTTTTGTTCTTTTTCATGTTTAGTTAGCTCATGCTTTCACATGGTTAACTCTGCTGCTTATTGTGGGATTTAAACTCATAAAGCTGACTATTTTTGACTAGTTCTCATTATTACCCTGGAACAAATTTTAAAGAACTTACTCTTAGTGGGAAGGAGAAGGAAAGGCTTGGGTACAGGAAGGAGAGTTGCCCTGCAAGTTCCCTCCTTGAACATTTAGGCAAATTATAAAATAGCATCAGCTGCTGAAGTACACTTCAAGCCAACACTGCCTCAAGTCATCAACCCCAGGAACACATTAAGAGTGATGGTTCCACACGGATGAGTTACTCTGAGTTTTCTTTTTTCTTCTTCTTTTTTCAGTCTTTAGGCACAACTGTGCTTTCCTTCACTGTCAAACATATCTGTCTTTTCCCACAGTCCAGGATTTCTCTCTATTGTAGCCATGGCAAGCAAACACACATTCCAAACACGTTCGAGTCCCCTCTCTCCCATATATATAAAACATAGAAATGGAACTGTTCAATATACACACACTGTAGGAAGCCACCCACAGAGCAAGGCACTGAGCTTTACACTCGATCTGAATAAGTCTGCAAGAACAGAACCGTTTTTTTTTTTTTTATACCTGAACATAAGATACAAAATGTTCTTTGTCTTGCATTTTAAAAGCATTCAGCATCAGGCTGAAGGCAGAATAAACTGGACCCCAACCACACGGAGCTGTAGGGGGAGGATGCAGTGATTTTTGTTTCCTGTTAGCACTTAGCTGTGTGTGCAAAGCCATGTGCAGCCTGCACAGGGCTGGCCACAAAGCCAGGAGATGGCAGCGAGCACCGTGCCCGACCTGGGAACCAGCAGCCAAGGAGAGCAGTGCAGAACACAGGCCCTAAAACTTTACAGTTCAATAAGCCACAGAGCAAGTTTCCAAACCCAAGGGCAGGTTTATTTGTACAGCTTTAGCTAACTGCAGGGTAAATCCTGGAAGAAAGGCTGTCCATTGACACACGGGGCCGTGGCTGTGCCGGCGGGCAGTGCCGTGCCCGGGAACTCTCTGGGGCGCAACCAAGGGCACGTGGCAAAATCTCCCAAACAATGTGCACTCAGAGCCTGCCCCTCCTGCACTGCTGGGAGCAAGGGGTATCCCACAGCCCTCCACACAGCCCATGGCAAGCTGAAGTCAATGGGATCAGGGTCTGAAAGTGTCCACTTTTCCTGCCACGCACAGCAACACCAACTGGTCATTACTGAGGGTCAATGTGAAATACCACAACTGTTACACCTCTTTCCTTGCTCTCAGTGAATACACTCTTCATGCTCTAACTCCTGAATATGGCTATTAACCTTGCTTCCATCTGCAATTAGAATAAGTGGCTTAATTACATGATGAATTGCCGTGTAGACATCAGCTAATACAGTCACATCCAGCAAAAGGGTGCGGCAAAGTTATTTAACTTGAAAGGAACCACCTTTAAATAGATCTCTCATACCTGGGGAGGGCAGAAACATCGATTCCAGAGACAGACACCACAAATCACGGGCCCCATCCTGTACACTCCTTCACACCCTGAACTAATTTTCACTTGATTGGATAATAAATAAAGGATGAAGGATGAAGGCCTAAATTTTAAACAGATTAATTTTCAGACATTTGTTACATTACTAGAACAGAGAGGTGCACAGAAGAAGTCTGCTTTCATGCTTTTAGATTTTTCCTTGGGTAAGGTAAAAAACAAAACCCCTCTATGGAGGGTTAATACTGTGCTTTAAAAAGCCTAGGGAAGGTTGTTTATCTAAAATCAAATGTTCCAATTCAGTACTTTCATGCAATAGATTTTTTTCTATGTGTCTGATAATCTCCAAATAAAAACTTTTAACAAAAACTGAGAACAAATGTGAATTGATGCATTCCTTGAACTTTAACTGGAGTCAGCCCATTTACAGACAAACCTAGACTGAGACTGATTTTAATACTTTTTCTTTTTCTAAAGCAGAAGAGAAAATCATAAAAGCTTTGCTTTACAATTCTAGCTAAAAAGCAGTGCTGCATTTGCCAGTGTACCGCTCACTACTTAAAAGATCACAAGTGTCACCCAGAAAAATAGGTGTTGATTATACAAATCAGCAATCTGACTTGAGAAAGTCAGAGGAAGGTTTCTCCATGTCCATGGTTAAAATTCTGCCAATGACTTTAAAATACTATGAGGTCCTTACATGCCAGGAAAAGCAGGCAGCACAGGAGCACTGGAGAAGGCCATTTCAAAGAGCATCTGATAGGGTTGGGTGTCCACCAAATTGTGATGTTAAACAAGAATCTGTCCCTTACCAGTGATGTGATTTCTTTAAAGGTCAGTTACAAGAATAATCACATATTTTACCATGATAGAACTGATCTCATGAAAATTACTGCTACAGTAATTTAAAAATAAAATTGTTTTCCTTAAAAAGAGAAAAAAATACTGTATCTGGAAATAAGCAAGGAGGAATTGCCTATAAACACTAATCGACAGAGCAGCAATTTTCAGTTAACCTCTGGACCAAGAGCGATTTATTATCCAGCTGCTAACTTTGGAACTAGACATGGACATCTTTAATTTTACAAGATGCTGATGGTTTTAATTCTTGTAGGTTGCCTTCGTTTTGTCTCAGGTTTTCTAAAAAAGAGATTTCAGGGCCTCATTTTCCTTTCTCCCTTATTCCCATATGCAAATATATATTCCTACTTTGTTTTCCAAGACATATGGCTGGACACTGGTGGGAAATCACCTCCAGCTAAAAATAATCCAACTCCTTTGCCAACTTTTAGAAAAACTTGATTGTATACAGTACTCAGTAAGAACCTGGCAAGAGATTCAAGTGCAGAACAGTGTGTGCCATACATATCCTTAGACAAGAGTTTTAATCATAAAGATGTTGCTTCCTACCTATCTGCATGACTCTGCCAAAAACAGAGTTGTTGTCCACAGTGCTGCAATTCCATCTTCTATGTCTGAATTGATACTGGCACTCCTTAATGCCCGTCTTTGCACCCTCTCCAATGAACTGCATATGGTCCTGATACAATTGGCAGAGTTTCTTCTGTCCTTGGGAAAGCCCTGCTAGCTGGCTGCATAGTGGCTGGGCTCCTATAATGTACACCTCTGACATCTGAACAGGGTTCATGGGGTTCATGGGGTTCATCCCTAAAGACCTGCACAAAGAAAGATTTGCATTAATAAACAGAAGACTTCAAAATAAAATAAATTAAAAAAAAAAAAATCCATAAATCCTAGACAGAATTGTAACTTATACATGAGTATACAACTGTTTTTGTTAACAAGTGAGGAAAAACCCCAGACACTTAAACATGAAACTTTTGTTTTAAGAACAGGACAGAAGTTACCAGTTTCCACCCATGTGGTTATCACCACACATTAGAGACTGAAGTATGACACAGACTTGGAAGACTCGCATCTAGGCAGCCTTTTACCAGCTTAAATTGATGCAGTAATAATAACAGAAGCTCCAAACAACTGCAAGGCCAGGAAAATAAATAAAGCAAAAATAAAAAAAGCTCTCCAAATCCCAATTTGTCTTAACATATATTTTATATTTAAGTCTGGGTTTTTCAATCTGATCTATTATAAACAAATAGGAACCCCCTTAGCAAGCCAGAAGTTAGAAACTTGCTACAGACTACTTCTAGCATCTTCCAAATGACAACACAGGAACATATAGGCAAGTATAGTCATTCTAAACAAAATCAATTTTATTTTCTTAATTCTTAAAGTGTTCTTCACATGATACATTTCAATTAAAAAGTGGCTATTAATCCAAAAGCCATCACTGGAAAGAGGAGAGAAATACCTATTTCAAGAAGTCTCAACATCGTACACTATACAGATAATTTGCCAAACTAGGAATTTAAATGTATTCTTTTGTAACAAAATAGATTTGTAAACAGTTCAGTTACAGAAAACTTCAAACTGAAACTAAGTTTTTCCTTGTAAATCAGCATTTTCTGTTGTACATACAAAACATCTAACGTAAGGGAGTTGAAATGTCTTTTAAAAGAGAAACAATTATAATAATTTAAAGATGATAAAATGCATAGACAATCCACCAGATACTATTCTAAAAACTGTATTTTACAAGACGAGATGTTGCACATTTACCCTTATTCGACAGACCCGTTCCCTTTCCTACACAACATATTCCAACCAGCACACTTCTCCCCTGCTGCCTCGCTCCTGCCGCGCTCCCGCAGAAACAAAGTACAGAAGAAGCACAGAGACATTGAAGCAAGCAAATCTTGACACCCCCTTTCAAAACCAAGTCGATACGAGATGCTTACCACCAAGAGCTGGCTTCTATTACAACCTGGGTAAAAGAGGAGAAAACGGCCAGAGCCACTACGAGGTACTGAGAAGCCATTGTACTGCCAACTGTCCCCACAGCACCTCCGTGGATTAATGCTGCACTGGATTTCTAGAGGGGGGAGAAAAAGGATCAGATTGTTTATTGCTTCTCAGACCATTTTCGAGCATTCAAGTTTAAACAACGGAAGTCTCCGGGCCCCTTTTAACTTGACTCTGACTCGCCGGCCCTTCTCCCCGCCGAGGCTCTGGTGCCAGACACAGGCACGTCGCAGCTCCCGCTCCAGCGGGCAGAACCCACCCCCGCACCCGCACCCTCCCCCCGGACACCGCCTTCCCGGGGCGCCCGCCCGTCCCTCTGCCCCGGCCCCGCCGCTCCCGCACCCCGCCCGACACGGGACGGGACCGGGCGCAACAGCTGCTCCGGACACGGGACCCGTCCCCGCTGCCCCGGGGCTACAGCCACCCGCGGGTCCCGGGCCGGGCATTACCCCATCGCTGCCCGCGCCGGCGACGCGAAAGGCTCACGGCTGGCTAAAGGCGGCTTCAGGTCTGCAAAGCGAGCCCGAGAGGAAGGGGGACCGGTGCCCCGAGGGGTCGGTTCCGCGGGGGCCCGAGGGCTCCCGCCCGGGGATGTTGCCGCCGGTCCTTGCCCTCCCCCGTCGTCCCCTAAAACATCTCGGCTCAGCCTCGGGGCTCCCGCCCGCCGCGATCGCCCAGGCAGCCCCGAGCTCCGCGCTGGCACCGCGGTGACTGCCCCGACGGCAGCCCCGGGGCCGGGACCGGCCCGGGGAGGTACCAGGAGCGACAAGGAGCAGCTCCGCGTCCCGACCCGGACCCTGCAGCAACCGGGCTGCCGCCTTGGAAGTCAAACGCTTCCCCCGACAGGTCCCGCGATCACCGTCTGGTCCTCACACGGGACTCTCTCACTCGCTCCCCAGAGCCATTCCCGGGGTTTATTTCCCCTCCCCTCGGAAGGGAAAAAAAAAAAAAAAAAAAAAAAAAAAAAAAAAAAAAAAAAAAAAAAAGAACAAAAAAAAGGTCATTCCGACACTTGGGGGCTCCCTATTCCCTATTCATTCTCCAAAGGCCCTTAACGCTGAATTGAAGGTGTTCTTAATTCTAATTTATTTCTGTTTGCGAAGGGCCGGGAGGAGCGGAGCAGGACACGGAACCTGCGCGGGCACACGCGAGGAAGCTGCCACACCGTGGGGACCCCCATGCGCCGCTCCCCGACACTGCTCCGGGGCTGCAGCCCGGGGGCGAAGCCTCCCCGCACCGTGCGGCTTAAACATGCCCTGCCCGGGGGAGATGAGCCCCGCCAGGTCCCCACTGCTGGGGGTGGGTAAATGGGGGCCGGTCTCCGGCAGCAGAAAGAGCCCGCCCGCCCCACAGGGGCTCAGTCCCGGCAAAGGTGCGAACGCCGAGGGCGCGCAGAGCGAAGCGAGGTGTGCGCGGGGCAAGGGGCGACACCCAACAGCGCACAGCGCTGGGCTCCGTCCGTCTGTTACTCCTGGAAATAATGACAGTAACAAAGAAGAGCCATGAAAGTGCCCGAGCCCGGAGGAGGTCGGAGACGCCGACAGCGGTGCCGCCCGGCCCAGCAGTCAGCCCGGGCACGCCGAGCTGCCCGAAGGGGCGGGCGGGCGGGACCGGGACAGCGCCAGGATGGGGCGCTGCCCCCCTGCAGGGTCAAAGGGCACTGCCCGCTGCAAGGGCCCGGGTGCCCCCCGAGCTCGGGCGCTGCTCCAGAGCCCCCAGCCCGGTGGCGGCGCCCCGGGGAGCGCTGGCGGCCCGCTCCCAACAGGGGGCGGCCGCGCTCGGCGGCTCTGCCCTTCCGACGGCAGCTCCGCCGGGGCCCGCTGCCATCGCCCTCCTCGGCGGCGGACACTGCGCCCAGCAGCGCGGCGGAGGAGGCACCTGCGACGGGCCGAGGGAGGGCCCGGCCCTTCTGCACGCAGCAGCTGACAAGGTGCCACCAGAAACAACATACACCCACAAAAAAAAGCCAACACTTAAAAAAAAAAAAAAAAAAAAAAAAAAGAAAAGAAAAAAAGAAAGAAAGGGGGGAAAAAAAAAAGGCAGACTGCCCAGCAGCACAGAGCACTGGAGATCGGGAGTGTGAGGCACCGTGTTCAACTTTGTAGGGCCGCGGAGATTGGGTTTTGGTATTTAACGCACCCCATGCGGAGCCCGCGCTCCTTGCCGAGATGAAAAGAGAGGCTTTTACAGATCCTGCACCGCGGGATCGCCTCTGATCCTGTTTTACACGGGGTGTCTGGAAAGCCTGCGAAGGCATCTGGTTTTCTAGGAGCACTACCAGCGGGCAGGCGGCATCCAGAGCCCGGCTCCGGGGGGCTGTAAACCGCGGGAGGCGCAGCGGCTCCGCGGGGACCCCCCGGCCGCCCCCTGCTCCCCGCTGCGCCTTCACAACCATTTGGAGGAGCGAGACCACGTCTCACGTTTGCAGGGAAATGCACTGGTCGGGTCCCGGCCCAGCTCTCCCCAGCGGAGGCGCAGAGGGGTTGTTTTCCCGGGGGTGAAGGCACATCGTGTCCTTCCCTCGGCGCCGGGGGACAGCCTCGCTCCTCGGTCCCGCTGAACTCCCCGTGACCCTCCGAGCGCAGCCCATTTACCATACAATTGACAATTAAAAACAAACAAACAACAAAAAGCCAACAGCCTTTCCAACATGGAGTCCTCGCAGCGCCAAGGGGACCCCGAGGAGCCGCGCTCCTCCGCGCTGACCCAGGCGGGACCCGCTGCAGATGCAGAGTGATAATCTCCAGAAACTGAGAATAAAATTAAATGGAGGGGGGGGGGGGGCCTGACTCCGGGTCCTCCGCTGGCCCCCAGCCAGTTCTCCTTAAAGGTACAGGCCACCATTAGCGCCGACGTTGGGCTCCTCCATAGCGATCCTCCTCGCGAAAGTTTGGGAAGTTTGGAAAGATGTCTTTAAACTCGCGTTAGGAGCCGCTGCCAGAAAGATGCACCGGGACGCGGCGGGCAGAGCGAGCCCAGCAAGTGTCCCTGCGGCGGGCAGCCTCTCTTCGGGGGGAAATTTAAAAGGAGAAGGAAAACCAGAAAATACAAGAGCTTTTCCCAAGTGGGAAGCAGAGCTCTCTCTCCGCGGTGGGTGAGAGCGGAGAGGTGGGAGCGCCCGGCGGTAGCCGAGGAGAGGAGGAGAGGCTGCCCCGCGCCGGGCCCCGCACCCCACCGAGCGCAGCCCACCCTGCGCGCCCGCGGCCCCCGCGGCGCGGAGCCCCCGCGTCCCGGCGGACTCACCTCCATCGCGCGGGATCGCCGAGCGGGAGCAGCCAAGTAATCCAAGCGCAGCAGGAGGAGAAACGGCGAGACGAAAGTAAAATCCTGGCTCGCAGGAGCCGAGCGGTATCGTCCTGAGCCGCGGCCGGGGGAGCGCGGGGGCCCGCGGAGCTGGCGGGGGGCGGCGGGCGAGCGGCCGCCCTGTCCGGCGCAAACCGAGCGTGTCCGACTGCGGAGCGGGGCACCAGTGCAGCCTTCTTTCCAAGGTCCATCAGCAATCGCAGTAATTAGGGCTTTCCACCAGCAGAAGAAGGAGGTAAAAAAAAAAAAAAAAAAGCCAAAAAAAAAAAAAGCCAACCCAACACACGCACACAGCGCCCGTGGGCGTGATTGTGCGGAAGCAAATAAAAATCTTCACAAGCGGCAGCGAAAGCGCCGCGGGCGACGATCCGTCCCACCAGCCCAGGTGGTGCCGCCGCGGGGCTCCCCGCGCTCCCACCCGGCTCCGCCGGCGCTCGGGCCGCCGACCGCCCCCTCCGCAGCTCGGCGCGGACCGGCCCGCCAGAGGGGGACGATGGAGCCGAGCGGGTGCAGGGCTCCCCCCTGCCCGCCCCCCTTCACTTGCTTAAAGGCTGCGCGGTGCAGAGCCGGGGGTCCGCCGCTGCAGAGCCATCCCGGGGCCGGCTCCCTCCATTTTACACTGAGAAGAAAAAGCCCAAACAGAAAAAGAACTTTCTGCACAAGCGGGAAGGGGGAGGGGGGCTGTGCACGCGTGTGCCTGTCTTACGGGGCGACTGATCCTGCAAGGCGAGCAGGGGCAGGGGGAGGGGAGCAGTCCGGGCTTCAGGAGCTGCGGCTCCCCCAATCCATCGGTGCCAGAGGCGCCCAGCGCCGGGGAGCGGGATACGCGGGAGAAGAGCCGGGAGAGCAAGCCGGGGCAGGCGGCGTCGCGGCAGCCGACCCTTCCTCCGCGGGGCTCTGCCCCCGCCCGCTGCTGCCGGCCCCGCTCCCCCCGCGTCTCTCCCTCGCTCCTCTTCACCCCGCTGCTTAAAACTGCGAAAGAAAAAAAAAAAAAAAAAAGGAAAAGAAAAAAAAGTTAAGAGAGCCAACGGCAGCTGGAAAAGTTTCTCGGCAGCGCATGCGCCCAGGGCCGGCCTATTGCAGACGGGGCTGGATTTTAAAGCTGTACGGCAGCGAGCGAGCGGGACCCCGCGCAGCCCCGGGGCGGGCGGCGAGCATCCGTGGTCCGCTTCACTCCGCTTACAGTCCGCTTCCCCGTCCCGTCCCGGCCGCCACGCTGAGTTCCGCATCACCGGGCCGCTCTCGCCGGTCAATGCTCGGCATGAGACCCCGTGAGGGCACATTCTTCCTGCAAAGCAGTGCCCCGTGCGCCCATCCCGGCCGGCGGGGTGCGTGCGGGGGTGCATGGGCTTTCCAGCACCGCCGGCTGCTCATCCTAGGCCGGGATAGGGGCACACGTACAACCATATGCATACAACCATATAGGTGTGTACCTATACGCATCCACACCCATCTACACCCATGTCCACGCATGTACACCCATCTACACACATATACACCCATAGGCACACGCGTACACCCATGCACGCACATGTACAGCACATTACACACATCTACAGCCATGTACACCCACGGGCGATGCCGGGCCGGCCCCGCGGCGCTCCCCCCGCACACATGTGTACACAATGTGCTGCGCACATGGCCGCGCCGAGGGGCTGCCCCAGCATTCCTGCCGGGCGGCTCGGTGACAAGCCCTGCTTGTCGCATGCTCCGAGGCGCGGAGGCGGCCGCGTGTGCTGCCTGCCAAAAGGGGGACGGAGCGAGCTCGACGGCTCGTGTTCCCCCTTCTGCAGCGGCTTTTGCCGCTGTAAATTTGGCAAGTTGTTGACAAAACTGTTTGGGTTAAATCGAGTAAGACTCAATGAGAGCTACAGGGGAGAGGGGCTTCGCGGACCCTTTGCACCTCCCCGCTCTTTCCCCGCTCTGCAGCCCTCGAGTTTTTATTGCACCTCTCCCGTCCCGTGTGCACCCAAGCACAGGAAATGGGAGCGTTCCTCCAGCCATGCCGTAACTCCGCAGCATTTCCCCTGTATCCGTCTGCAACTGTGGGTCCACGAGGGGATGCGGGGGAGGGGGCACATTATCAAAGCAGCCCTGGGAAATCCAACCAGGCTGCGAGAGCAGCTCCGCTATCAATAAATGCATTCACTCCTTCAAAGCCATTCCAGCGCGAACAAAATCCCTTCAGGAGGCCGATGGGGGAACAGGCACATCCCGGCCAGGCCGAGCCGCTGCCGCTGCCCACCTGCTCCCGAGCCAAGAGCTCGCCCGCCCCGCCGGGGCGCTGCCCGACAGGTAAGCGCAGCCTCCGGCGGCACCGGCGGTGGCAGACCGGGCGAAGGGGCCGGCTGTCCCCGCCAGGCCCCGATGGCCACGGGCCCTCCTGCGCCCCCCGGGCCGCCCCCTCCGTGGCTCCGGCGGGCCCCGCTCGCCCCGAGCCCCCCGGGAGGAGCCGCGCTGCCGGGACGCGGAACGGGAGCCCCTCGGGATCAGCCCGGGGCTCTGCGACACCTGAGCGCCCCGGCGGGGTCCGAGCCCCCAGCATCGCTCCCGGCAGGTTTCTTTACTCTCTAGCATCCAAAGGGCTTTTCCGTTAGGAATCCTCACTGCCCGGGCTGCTGCTCATTCCTCGGGACGCCTGGTGAGGAATTTATAAATTAGGTGTAGCACCAGGTCCAGGGAGGGGGAAGGAATAAGGGGGCTGTTCGTTTCTTTAAGAAGACCAACCTTAGTTTTATGCCTAGTAAATAATATTTTATTGCCTTTGGTTTACTGTGGCATTTCAATTATCCCCTTTAGGAGTCTGCAAACTGCGTAGGTTAAAGGTCATTTCTCAAATCACTAGAATTAGTAAAGAATAGCAGAAAACTGTAAAAGGGGGAGGAGCCGGGCAGTAAAACAAGAAAGATCGCCTGGAATAAACTAATAAAGAGCCCCGAGCTGTTTACCTCTCGCATTTGTATTCCCGAATGATGTTTATCATCATGTAATTGCATAATGTCATCGGGCACAAGAAAACGCCAAGCCCGGGACGATCCTCACGGGCAGGGCAGTGAGCAGCAGCTTGGCAATGGGAGAAGCCAGCACCAGATCGTTTTCTTTGCCGGGATTCCTAGTCGCTGCTTTTAAAAAGAGAACTGAAGGGGAATTTATAAATCACGGGCAAATTTTCAAGCTATGGCGCATATAAGTGGAAATAAAGGGCAGAAATCCAAACATCCTGCAAGGCTTTAAGAATTTTAATTTCTCCTCACTATTTAAAACAGCTGGGTGAAGCTAGAGGGGGCAGGAGGGAGAAGTATTGACAATGTTAAAGGCATTCGTGCTGCCCAAGGTTTTGTTTTCCAGGTTTGTTAGTGACAGAGCTCTAAAGGTAACCAGACAGTTGATCTGTCTGGTTTTACTGCCAACATCGAAGTGTTTTCTGGAGAAAAAAAAAACCTCTCGGAGTAATGTCATAAGAAGTGTGATGATATCGTTGAATGCCCAAACAGCAGAACCTCAAAAAGCAGCACTGCAGGATTTTAGAGATTTAGGTTACAGCTCTGCAATTCTCTGTAGGGCAAAAGTAAATTATTTCTGGTCTTTTCGATGTGTTTCTGCCATTTTCCTGCAGGGTAATGCATTTTAACAAAGGGGTGGTCACATAAAAACCTTGCACGCCTGTGTTCATTGGAATGTGTGGTGCTGCGTGATTTACATCTTTCCACCTTGGCCAATGGCAGGGTTTTCGTCATGAAGAACCTGTTTGGGAATCAGAACTTTCAAGGAAAGGAGGTGTTTTCCTGTATGTCTTTTTAGCTCATTATGGAATTTGAGTGTATAACGTAGGAATTATGATACATCTCCCACTGAACCATTGTGAAGGCACAGCCCATGTGCAGCTGGTTTGGTATTATTGCAGTGAATCTGCTTTTTTAGGTGAGAGTCGTACCATAATGCCCATTTGACAGAGCAAAGATGTCACATCACTTTGAGCATATAACATGCACTCTGCTCACCAGACCATCTACTCCAGGGATGACTTTATTTTAAGCTAATTTAGATGTAACTGCCTCGAAATCACACATGTACTTTCCTAAGGCTGCTTTCTTTCCCAAAACATGCTGCTGCCTTCTTTTCTACAGACCACCCTGTCATCCAAAAGATGGCTAAACTACAAAAGAAATGCCAAAGATGATAATTTTATGACAAATCTTGCAATAAGTGTTATTTTCATAATCCTCATCCATAAGAGACAAGAAATAGCATGGGAAACTCTTTTTAGACAATAATTCTGTATTTCTAGCTTGCCTAAACTCTGAACAGACTTTGGCAAGTTATAAGTCTAGAAGACAAAGAAAAAAATATAGATGTATGTCCATGTATGGATGTACCCCCACCCTGTTCCTTTCCCCTCTCTCAAATCCCAAATTCATGATGTTGAAAGACGCCAGCATAGCTTAAGCAGCGATAAACCACTAGAGAGGAAGAAATAATAGTCTAGATTAGCATTCATCTTTACCAGATGAAGACATATTTTAGATGCTGTGAGATGCAAATAAGAGGCAGCAGGCAAAAGAGGAAAGTTTACAGGGTAATGAAGTGTAACAAATTCAGGTGAATACACCAATCTCCAAATCTGCGAAGCCTGTAGAAAAAAATATACCACTTTACATTTAAATTGATGATAACTATACCAATTTATTATTACTAGTAATGAACTGCATAGCAAACAGCCCCCATTTGTCTGCATTATCAGCTGGAGAAAGACAGCTGTGGACTCATTTTTCATGTGCTAAACACAGGTGAGTTTTTTTCCATTTCCTTTTTTTGATGTCTAATCAACCCCAGTGCCACTGCAGAAAGCACAGCCCAGGTACAAGATGTGTTGGGTCATGGAGGAAAATAAGGAGATGAGAAAATAATTTACAAAAAAAAATATAGCCGAAGTAACTAAAAGCCATTGAACCAGGATGCCAACTGGATGAACCCCTATTGCAGCATGGGGCTCCACTGCTGTGAGCTCAGCCAGGTGGGAGATGATTAAAAAGTGCCCTGTCACAAGAGCAGGGGAGGCTGTGCTTTGGTGCCCCAGAGCAATGGTTGCTGTTCTGCAATACTGGTGCCATGGGCTTGTGCCCTGCCCTGGCTCTGGCACACTGAGCTCAGCGAGCTGAGGTGCAGGTGCTGATGGCTGGGAAGGTGTTCAAGGAGGAAATCACTCCCCTGCAGCCAACAGGACATGAGAG